CCAAGAGTTTTTCAGAAGGATTTTAGAGTTCTATGGTTGATTGGAATGATGTGGGATGATCTTTTGATAGAAGAGAAATCATTATTAGACGTGAAAATGGTCAAATTTCATCAAAAATGGAGGTTTTTAGTTAATTACATATGTCAAAACTTGTCAGAATGGGGTGTGTAACAGTTCATTCGACGCGGAATGATTGGTTTCATAATGTACAATCTTTAAATCATTAGTAACAGAGGAGTAGTGAAAAGGTTATAAGGGAAACAAAGAAAATGGAGTGAATTTCGAATTTGGTCATTACATATAACATTTACATGACAAAAGCTTATTTTCTCAATCTCTACAGCTCAATAACTTATTCATCACACATCAGAAATAGGTCATATGGGGGTGATAAATGATCAGTATCACGAGGGATATCAAATGAGCTATAGTAATCTAAAATTGAACAACTTTACAAAAAATTCATAATTCCAAAAATTGATTTCAGCTATGACTATTAGGAAAAAATCACCTGTATTTGTCATAAGAAGATCTGTTCATCATTTCTTTACATCAATTGATCAAATTCACGCCTTGGATCATTACAAACAATAATATTCATGACATCATACGGTTACATTGGAGGATTGCTGTTGATTTTTGACGGTTTTGAAGGTTTTTGGAGACTGTTGACCATTATTGAGGATTGTTGGAGTGTTATATACTATTGTTAGGGATTTTAAATGCCTTTGTTCCCCTTTTTACTCATCTTATACTTTTGTTAGAGTGTTTTTAATCATTATTAAATTACTTTATCAGTACCAAGTTCACTAAATTGCCCCTTTATATCAAAGGAGAGATTTCTTTACGTGTGATAAGACTACAAGTCTTCTTTGGAATAACAATCTAATTGATTGTTGCTTTGCTAGTAATTAAAAGTTTGTCTTGTTGTGCTCAGATTGGAATAACACTACAGCAGTGTTGAGATTTCTTTTATTCTAAAAAAAAACTCACGGGAATAATACTTGAACTAAGTATTGAAAACAATTTCTCTGGTGCCTTATCCCAAAGAAATCAGCAGAACCCCGTGTTGATTCTTTCAAAGAGGCAGTCTTAGGCAACTTCTACTAGTTAGTTATATTAGTAGATTATCCCTCTTTAAGCTCTGTAAAGCTCTTGTTGAGCTTTAAGTTCTACACCGTATGACAGTCATCAGAATGGTCTCTGCGTGGGGAAACCTTTACTCTTATGTTCTGTCTTGTGACACTGAGAACAAGTCCTTGTCACCACTATTCTCTTTCCACTACATGAGTAACCAGTTTTTCTTCCACATTCTTCACAGCTTTTCTACTTCAAATAGCGCAAGTGGGCTCCACTGCGTTGGATTGTAATATCTGTGGTAGATCTAAATGTGCCAACCAGAGCAAAGACACATGGGATTGTGGATATGACTATGTATGTCGTTAGAATGGATGTGGAATAAACACTGGTTACTTGTGTAGTAGAAAGAGAATAGTACAAGGACTTGTTCTCAGTGTAGTGAGACAGGATATAAGAGTAAAGGTTGCCCCCCGTAGAGACCATTCTGATGACTGTCATACAGACAAAATCCTTGGCACCCTCATTGGAAGGGAATTATAAGGTAGAAAAGCTGTGAAGATGATGAAAGTGGATGCTGATTGTAATTTCATACTGTTGAGACAAATCAATTAACTAACTAAGTTGAACTTATGATCTTCTTTTTATAATTTGCTCAGAAGTTTGTTGGATGCAAATCCTCGGACGGATCTTATCCGAGGTTTTTGTCTGAGGTATCATTCTGCGCCAAAGATTACCTTGGATCACAACCTTGGAAAGCTCCTGTCCGAGGTTTCAGATCCGAGAATGCCTCAGAGCTCCCAATCCAAGGTCAATATGTTGGCAGTGAGGCCACAGGATCATACAATCTGACTTGTCCTTCCAAAAGCCCCAAAACATAATCAAATCATGATTAGGACAGCTGGACACAATTGTGCAGGAAACCATTAATAGAATACAGAGATAGATGACAATAGTTGATCAGAGTAAAAAAGGTTGGATCTGCACAGGACCCCGGAAAGCGCTGAGTGATCATACCGACAAGTCGTCATACCGGCCCCGGACACACTTTGATTGGGTTTCTTCTCGAGTACAGGTAGGTTGAGACATTGTCTTGAGTTTCAAAAGATGCCCCTGACCCAGGGCTATCAATTACATATACTTCCTATTATGTACCACGTGTAATACCCGAGATATACACATGTAGGTACCCGGCACGACATGGTATGAATACTACATGAGCCTCTGGGAAAAAAGTTAGAAAATGCACATTTGCGCAGCCACCAGACATGCTGGGAGTCTCAGATGTGTGTTGTCTGATAGCCTGTATCTGTGCGCATCTTTTGCACATGTCACCATTCTGATACCCTGCTAGACGGTTTCACAAGGTGATGGTATCCAAAACCATTGTTTTGTCGGTATGATCACTCAACACTTTCCGGGGTCCTATCTGCACCCATTGATTGTAAGACTCCCTATATGTCAAAGCATACCCATTTTCATGGTTATTAAAAATCAAATGTCCCTTCCAAAAGCCTTGGAAAGGACCCACATAAGATTTGAGAAGCACATTGGATAAAAAAAGAGAAGGGTTGGGGTCGCACAGCCCAAAGTTGCAAATTAATGTGAATTTCAATTGCTTTCAAAAAACCGTGTTGGTTTGCATGGATAGATTTATTTAGTGCAATACTCCCACTTCCTGTCCTTTTGCACATATAGTGGCTAGTGTCAAAGCCTTTGAAATTTTGGACAAAACTTCAAATTCAATGTTCTTGCTCAAATGTCAACCTTTTGAGCATTCAAAAACAGATTCATGATGCTCTCTACCCAGCGGCTCTCTATGAATAGCTACTTTTTCACATCTGATGGCAGGTTTCTCTTTTTGTGTTGTTTTTTTCAGAAAAATTGATGTCATTGCTTGAATGTCAACATTTTGAGCATTTGACAACAAATTCATGAAGCTGTGATTGGATTTGGAAAAAAGGTGTGCATAGACAGCCATTGGGTATTCCATCATGAAGCTGTTCTTGAATTCTCAACATGTTGAAATTTGAGCAAAAACATCAAATTTGAACTTCCGTCCAAAGTTTCAAAGGCTTTGACACAAGCCACTATACAAACAAAAATTCTTTGGAGGGGAAATGTAACACATTATATAAGGGAAATGAGCAAGAGGGATAGGTGTGGCTAAGCTTTGAAAACACATATATAATATTGAAAAAGGTCCACCATATGACACCGCGGGAAACAACTCGTTTGAAACCCAATTGAGCTTAATTTTGGTGTCCGGGTTTGAAATTTCCTCGAATCGTGAATCTTGTTCACAACTCGTTCACATTATGTTTGCCAATTCCCCTCGGGCTGTACTCTGGAATCGGCTGGCCCCATGTATGCACAGTCACATCATACAGCACCATCCCCTTTCACAATTCCTCACCTTTGTAAGGTCGAGGATCACTCAACCTTCACTGAGAAGAGACTTGCAGGCCAAAGCCCAAAACTGATCTATAACCGAAGTGTATTTCACCAAATAGGTCTAGACCACACACAGATATCAGAGATGAACAGGAAGAGTGAGAGAGGAGGAAGAGAAACCTCCAAGAGGGAGACCATACCTAGACCACACACAGATATCAGAGATGAATAGGAAGAGTGAGAGAGGAGGAAGAGAAACCTCAAAGAGAAAAGAAGGAAGGAAGGAGAGGAATAGACAACTTATAAGCCCTCTCTATAGAGATACTAAGGGTATACTACAACTGAGTGATCTCCTTCCTTACACCCTCCCCTCCTAAAAAACAACCCACCCTAAAAATCACATACAAGTTAGACAATTAAGTTTGAGAGATTCAAAAATTTGAAAAAAAATAAAATCTCCCTCCATCACAGAGTCACAGAGTCTATGGAAAAGGTGATATGAAACTACAAAGAGTAAACATGATATCAAGAACCAAAGAGCTGAGGCTTAAACAAAGACCAACAGAAGGCACCAAAGAAGAAATTAAGTTGTCAAGATTGAAATCCCATTTTCAAGTTGAAAGATTAATGTGTCATCAAAGGAATACAGCAGGACATCTTGATCAAAAGGACTTTTGTTACAATCCTTACCAAGGTAAAATCCTTGATCATCCATTTCTAGTATGCATAGATCGGGATGTCGCTTAATAAGTCGATCATGTAAGCTTTGAATTTGAGATTGAGTCGGAGGGGGGTGATCATCAAAAATATTGGTAAAATCACATGTAGGTTGAGTGAGGTCTGACTTGGAGATATCTGCTGAAATTTTATCTACTTCACTGATTTTTACTTTCTTTTTCTTCTTCTTCTTGGATGGACCAACCATAGGATTACATCTAGCATGAGTTGTCGATTCAGGATTTGAAATGGCACACGTGGTGGAATGAGGAAGAGCTGGTGTAGTAACATAATTGCTTGTATCAGGATTGATCTCTGAAGAGTTTGATATCGGAAGCGAGCTTATAGGGTCTGAGTGTGATTCAGAAGAAGGCAGTTTGGTAGTCTGGTAGCAGTTGGTTTGAACTTGATCATCTGATTCCGAATTCGGAAGCGAGCTTATTGGGTCGAAGTGTGATTCAGACCAGGTAATTGGGTCGCAGTGTGATTCAGAAAAGGTCGGCTGAATAGTTTGATTACAGTTGGCTCCAAATTTATCATTTGATTTTCCTCGGTTGCAGTCTGATTGAGGGTCAGAGGATAGCCCAGGCCCATAACAATCTTGCTTGGAGTTGTTTCCGAACTCATCAATTGCGCCTATCTGTACAGGATCGGATGACTGTATCAATCCTTCTATCAACGAACGGATTTCGCGTAGGTCTTTCCACATTGCTTCATTGTTTTCCTGGATCTCATTGAGGTTGGCTGGGCAGGTATCAAATCGGTCGTTTGTGGACACTGACTTGGAAATCTGTGTGCAATTATTCAAAGGTGGTTCGAAGGGTTATGACCCTTTCACAGATTGAGACTGATCAAAAGAATATGCTGCATAGTCAGCAAGGTCAAGGGCCTGTATAAAGGAGCTCGTAATGACCGTAGGCCGACCGCGACCAGTCAGTATCGGTGACGGGGGTGCCGATTGAGAGCAAACATCGAGAGATTGGGGTGATGCAGGTGGAGTTAGTGATTGCATTGCTGACTGAGGACGCGTGGAAAAGACTGGTGATGGTGGTGTTATCGCAGGATTGGGACGAGTGTCATGAGGTATGCTTGGAGGAGTACAACTCGGCAAGAACGATGCAGCAGATGGTCGAAGGGCAGAATCAAAGCTTCCGACTGTATTCTTCAAGCGCTGAGAACGCCACTTTGCTGATCGTTTTGTTGGCTTTCGTCGAGAAGCATTAGGTGTAAGAGGCCAACACGACGCAGAGACATGATTCCGCAGCAGTGGTTCAGATACTGACATGAGGAGGTGTAGGTTGCAGGTAAAGGCTGACAGGTGATTCATTGCATTAATTATGTGATAAGAAAGACTTGGGGTTGGGTATGACATTGGAAAACTGTGATAACCATTTGGAAGAGACATGGTTGATCCGATTGAGACTGTTGAGGACTGTTGACTGATAGCTGGTACGGAAATCTGACTTGAGACACTGGTTACTTAAAACGCCATTGCTGGCGAGTGTGAACTGGATCTTGAAACGCCACAAAAGACGAGTGAACAGGAAAGCTGGTATCTGGAAGAAAATTCTCGAGGTCTCTGGATATATTGGATTGCTGAATTGGAATTTGGTGTAGATCAAAAAAGTGTAAGGTCGAGGATCACTCGACCTTCACTGAGAAGAGACTTGCAGGCCAAAGCCCAAAACTGATCTATAACCGAAGTGTATTTCACCAAATAGGTCTAGACCACACACAGATATCAGAGATGAACAGGAAGAGTGAGAGTTGTCAAGCCTGGATCAACCAAAAAAAAAGCAGTTCAGCGGGAACATGATAAGAGGCAAGATATGTAGTCAAACGGTCGGAATCACAGGTTTTGAAAGTGCTGTGTATGTGTATATATTGTAGGGTACTCGAGCCCATTCCTCAATTAGCTGAGCTGTGGGTCCTAATCTCTTAGGGTTTCCTTAAGTGAAAACCCCCCATGTCACGTGGTGGGCGCGGGTTTTGAATTTTGGGCAGGCCCAGGCGCGGATTTTGACTGTTCCAAAGGCACGCCTATAGTGGGGGCGCAGAGGCGTGCCTCTGAGGTGTCAAAATCCCCCCAAAAATCAAAAAAAGGCAAAAAAACCCGCTCAACAACATCAGAAAGGACTTTTTTGTATTTCATAACAGTTCTGCTGTACACCTCATGAACATTCATTGAAGTAAACCATCGAAAAGATTCTCCTCATCCCAGTCTTCATTGTCAGATCCCTCATCTAAAACAATAGTAACAGCTTGTTCTGCTTCAACTCTAATATTGAATAATGTTAAATCAAAGAGAGTGTCTATAAAACCACTCTCAGTAATATCCTCTCGTTCTTCTCCCTGATCCACCTCATCTTCACCATGAATTCCATTTTCAAACTCTTGAACTTGATCAAGATCTTCAAATTGAGGATCTAGATCTTGTGAATCATCAGCAGCAGCAGTTTGATCGTTATTTTTGATCGATTTGGCCACACGATTCGATTGCTCGGATTCGAGATCCATCTCGATTTGAGACATCATCTTTAATGTTGAGACATCCATTCGAGCGCGCGACTTAGTCTTTTGAGAACCCATCCGCGAAAAGAGGCTTTCAACACCCGCAGCGTGGGGTACAATTTCTAAGAGCTTGATGGTGAACGACTTGAGCTCTTGAGTCTGTGGATTAGCTGGTACCTTCAACCAGTAATTCATGGCAGATGAACCTAAACAATAATCAAGATTAGTTACATTATCACATCCGATATGATAATGAGAAATCACAACTTGCCATCTGGAGGTATACGAAATGGACCCTTGGAGTTGTAGTATTGTAAGACTTGTGTGATCAGGTTTTTACATTCAATCTGTTTGAACTTCCAAACTTTTGCGATTTTGACAATAGCTCACGTGAAGTAATTGATATTGTATTTTTGAGACGCAGCAATTTGACGAAACTGAGGTGTCAGGAAAAATCCAAGGATGTAGGCCGGTTCGTCAAAGACTTTGCATCGCTTGTTGATTATTTGAATACTGTGAGACTTGAAAGTTGAATATTGAGATTCAACTTTCATATCTTTGAGCTTCATGTACAACACAATCACCTCGCTCCAAACTTCACCAACGGTAGTATTCGCGCGTTCTAATTTTGCAATCGTATCAACAACTGGCTGGAGTACTCGGACTAAGACATCATTCGAAGCAAAGTGAAGACGATTGAAAACGATGTCCCTGATACTCTTCTTGATTGAAGGCGCATCGGTTGATCGATCGATCGAAGTCTCGACACATTTTCGAAAACCGAGTTCGTGTGATTGAACAGACAGACAGACCTTGGCAAAAGAGAACCATCGAGTCTCGGAGAAAGTTTTGATTCCGTGTCCGACTTTCTCAGTAACTCGCCAACTCTCTAACCATTGAATCCAATAATGAGCTTTGGTAAAAAAATTGACTAGTTCTTTGTTGTTGGAGACAACCTCTCTCATGCTTGGATGCGACAGAATGTCTTTAGTAACTAAGTTGATGACATGAAGACAGCAAGGTAAGGTGATGATCGCTGGATGTTCCTCAGTAATGATTTTCTATCATTTGACAAAGGAGATAAACGTTTGAATCAGATTACAAGACAGTGAGAAGAAAAAAGAAGCCTTGACAAGTTGACTTACACAAAACTTTATCATAACTGCTGGAGAATCAGTGACAACAGCACTGATCTGATCCCATCGAAGACCCTGAGCCTTGAGAGTGTCATTTAAAGCGGAAAAGGTGTTTTCAGAGGTATGTCGCTTTTGATTCAATTCGAGAACATCAATGAATTGCTTGACTTCAGTGCCTCGTAAGACTAAAACTGCGTATATGCTGTTTTTTGATACGTCAGTCCAGCCATCTAAAGTGATAGTCAAGTTTGACTGTTTCGCTAACTTCTCCTTGATTGCTATCTCGTGTTTAGCATGTAACATTGGAAGTACATTTTCAATCATCCGATAACGAGTAGGAGGCTTGAATACACATACAGCTAGCATTTTTTGATAGTTCAAGAAAAAATTGTTGTGAAGGAATCTAAAGGCTACCTTCCCCGAGATGAGGGATTTCAAAAGCTCCTCGTCAAGGTCAGCTAACTTGGCCTTGTCGTACGTTCTGAAGTGATGCAGTGAGCTGAAATCATGGATGAGTTTTGACTTTGGAACCAGTGAGGGAGCGCCATCATCACTTGAGCCAGTTTCTGTTGCAGGTTGAGAGTTTGATCGCCCAGTCTTCTCATTATGCTCAGCAAGTATGAGCTGTTTGTATTCTGACTTTTTTGAGATTGAGATTGACGGACATTTCTTGGTGATATGATTGTATAATCCACTTGGCTTTCCATCCAACGTAGCCTTACAGTGCTGACATTGAGCCCGGCGGCGGTTTGATGATGTGTTCAGTTCAGCAGACATCAAGAATCCTGTCCATCGCTTTCCAAATCCGCCGCTAGGTTGGTTCCACTTGCCTGAGGCGGACTTTGACAAGGAGGATTTGACTTTTGGCATGATATGGAAGTATTATATTGCTGACGGTGGCTTTGAGATTGAGGATATGTTGTAAGGTGAGTACTTTGAAGTGTGATTTGAATTTTTTTCACACGGTAACTTGGTGGAATAGACCTAAGTCTAACTTGGGCACGCCACCCCCAAAATCGGCTCCAAAAGGCCTGCCCCGGGCCTGCCCTAGAGGCCTGCCCCTGGGGCAGGCCAATTGCGCCCCGCCCACCACGTGAGTCACCGACTTGCAAGGTGCACCTTGAGTGCGTAGACCTCGGGGATGACCATCGAACCTGTTGGTCCATTGCCCTCCATTTGCTTGGTCAGGTCAAGGAAAGGCTACGGATAATCAAATGTTTAAGTAAAGGTCATGTGTTAGTAAGATTCAAGCTACTTACAGCCAGTTTGTTGGTCAATTCTTTGAGGGAATTCCAGTCGTCCGGTGAGAAGTAAATCTCGTGGAAGTATCCACGAGGTTTTTGCAAAGTCCTAGTGCGCCTTTTTCTACTGCGGACTTGTTCCAAGTCCTCAGCAAGGAGTTTGTTGACCACCTAACACAACAACATTTAGTCAGCGAAAAGATCCCAAGTGAACCAGGAAGAATAACAGGTTCACACTCACCTTTTGTGCTTGTACCAACCTATTTAGGGAGTCAAACTCGGCGTTCCATTGTGTGGCATTGTAGCCAGGGATCAAAGGGAGAAGTTTCAAGTTGAGAGCCTTTGCCTTCCTTGAGAAATGTCGCCTCCAAGCGGCTGATCGAGAGACTCGGCGCGATATGAAGTTAGCCTACCAAATCATAGATATATCAGTGATTGTTAGATACCAAGTTGGAAACCAATGCTACTTCACCTTACTGATCAATACATTTAGCTTATTTGCATGCTGCTTTGATTGAGTGTTCTTGAAACACTCGGCACCTGAGGGGTCAGGTGCCAGATCGAAAGGATCCTCAGCATCCTTTTTATCCTCATGATCCTCATCATAGTCTGGAGCAGGGGTTTTGACCTCATGTTGTGAGTCATGGTCAGTCTCGTACTCATCTTCTTCTTCCGGTGTAACTTCGAGATCGTGTTCTTCAATATCAATGTTGATGACTTGGGCCGAATGCTGCTCATCATCTTCTTCTTCTTTGGCGATGACTGGCAACTTTTCAGCGATTGGAAATACACCAAGGGTTGACTCACGCATCTGGAATCGCGAAGGGGATGATCGACCAAGTTCGGCAAGACCGCCTTTGACTGTGCATGATATCTTGTGGAGGAAACACCGAGCATAGTCGGTTTTAGGGCTCCATGTGTAAGAACCCTTTGTAGCAGTCAAATTGGTGTCAGATTGAGATGAGTCAGTAAGCTCGTCTTCAGCTATTCAAAATTGAGTGTCCATCTCTTCGGCCATAGTGATGTTGTTTGATCCTGAATCGGTGACCTGGCTGAGCATGTGGAGGCATCAAATGTTACAAACTGTTCTAAATCAGTATTTTGTTCAAATAATATATAAAAATTAAATTAAAAATAAAATATCT